TATCTATCTATATTTTATATTAAAATATAGATGGGTCACTCTAAATGAATGCAGAACCAATCATCTATCTAACTAAAACTACTATTGACAGAAGAAATAATACACCTCAAGGTGCGTGAAATAAGCTAACAGACATATTTATTTAAATATATATTTTCTGAATACTAATATGTAAGAAAGAAAAAAAATTGTATATAAATATTTAGGATTAAGGACTAAAATTATTGAAGAGTATTCTGCCGCACACGATCAATTGTAAAGGAATGGATGTGAAAGTTTTCACTGTCTGTGTTTGGATTTTGAATTGATACCCAATCAGTTCCGTCTGCATCAGACACCATTTCGAAGGCAAATAAATAGTAATTTTTATGGACTTCTAATAGCATTTCTCTTGTTGACTTGTATTAATATTAATTTCCTTGTATGTTTCAGAGAAGGCACCTATTAAACATAACTTTAAATTAAAATAATAATAATATGTAATGTCAGTGTTGAACATATTGTTTTATTAAATGAAAATAAATTTTAAAAATAGGACTTTTAAAATCCAGGAAAAACTATTAACCAAGAGAAAGAAAAATTCTCCATCGAGATCTCAAAGCAAGCAATGTTCTATTAGACGAACAGATGAATCATAAGATAGCAGATTTTGGCATGGCAAGACGGGTTTTACTGGATCAAATTAAGCAAATACAAGTAGAATTGTTGGAACCTAGCAAGTATTACAATATGTATTAATTGTTGAGAGTTCAAACATACAAGAGAATATGGTACATAGTTTCAACCCAAATCTCACGCCTCTACGAAAGCCAATAATAGATCATTGAATAAGATTACCTCTGAAAATGGTTCTTGCTGAAGATTAAGGGTGCTTTCCGTGCAAATTGGTTTGCTTTTATCATAGGAAATCGTTGACTAAATATATAATAACATGCAGTTTAGTTTGATTTTAACGTAATCTAAAATGCGAAATAAACTGTAAATGAACCTTCTATGATTCAACAGTTATCAATACATTTTTAAACAATGTATGAAATGCAACGGGAATTCCGGAACCCACATTTGAAGATTAATATTGAAGAAATGTTAATGTAGAGAGAGCACCAAGCTGCACCACTAGTATAATAACCATAACATGTACTTCAAGACCAGCTGAAGGTCGTGTATAAGTATACCACTGGTTTCAGTCTCAGTTTAGACTAAAACTGTATGGTGTATTTAAACAAGACATAGATGAACAAGTTACATGAGTTCCAAACATTGTATTTTGGTTTAAGACCGGAAGCATTGATGATGAATGAATATCACTTGAGCCTGCTTTTGTTGAATTATACTCCCATGACTCCATCTCTGGAAGGCTTCTGGTTCTACTGTTCAAATAAAATGCATTTCGTCATTTCATTTGGTGAGTTGTTGCTTAATGATGGATCTACAATATTTTTGGCTGTCCCCTCCTTCCAGTTTCTCCATGCCTTTAAAAATTTGTTATTAGATCACGGATGCCACTTCTACATTAATGTTTTGGAGCACGTAGTCTTCTATTCCATACTTTTAAATGACAACAAAGAACAAATAATAGTTGCAAAAGGAAGACTTACAAAGCTTAGTAGATCCTCTGCATTCTGATCACTATTTCTCTGGCCACTTAAGATAGTTATTGTTTACGTAATATGATTAAATGCATGACATTCTATGAAAAGGTGTGAATTGACCACATTCAGTAAAATTTATAGAAATTAAAATTAAATAACATCAGGATAAAATTATTTATATTTACAAAACATATGTAAAATTAAAAAGTTTAACCTTAATTCGATAATTTTTTATTTTATGAATTACTTGTCAATAAAATTATTTACTTTTGAATAGCTTACTGTGTCAATAAATTTATCTAAACTGTTCTAATGCTTTATCAAATGCCACGGGACACGAACATTTTTTTTTTTTCAATGTTTGCTCTACCTTCGATTACGCTGCAATAAAATATTTTTTATCATGTTCAACTCAACTTTATCGAAAATAAAAATAGTTTTAGCAAATCGACATCCAAGTTTTATTTTACAAATGATGATGCCAAAAAAATTCTGACACCCGTCATCTTGACTTTGAAAAACTACAAAAATTACTTTTTAAAAACTTACTATTTCTAGAAGTATTTATTAAAACCCCTGTCAAATATACCAAAAGTATTCCAATTAAATTCGCATGCCTCACAACTCTACAATAGTATAGTCTACGTACAAAATAAAAAACAGAGAATGGAGGGATTGTGGTGAAACCGTTGACTAGAGTTTAAGAGTGAGTTTATAACTGTGGGCATCGCAAGTAGCCAACATGTTTGTAGATCAATAATCTTTAATCATTCACTCATCCAATTATTTCATTATTTGATCCAAAAGAAGTTTCCTCCCTCCATCTTCACCACTTTCTTTCTTTATTTCTTTTTCTTCGCTCTTTCGTCTCTACACTTTATACCGCCGCGGCTCCTATACCCATCTGTCCTCAAGCGTCGGCTAATTCTTTCATAGCTTTCATAATTTTGACCATTGACAATTCAACACGTTTCACATCACATTATTATTATTATTATTCGACTTCGCTGATGGAGATAGTTCTCAACTTGGAACTTACTTTAAACCAAAAAATCACGTACGTCGTTGCTCTTACACCAACCCTCGGTTAATGTAGTATAAACATGTAACGTTAAATCACAATTAAACGAACGGGTATCATCGTGGAAATGATTTGATGGAAATTTTGGTTATAAAGTGAGAGAAGCAGTCTTTCCTTCATCAATAGATGCTCATTCATCATCATTCCTATGGCTGCCATTTCTTGCATGCTTCTTTTCGTTCTTACTTCTCTAATATCTCAAGCCAGCGCCCAGTATAACACCCAGCACTGTGATAACAACAAAGGGAACTACACAATCAATAGTACCTATCACAGCAACCTCAACACCCTTTTATCCACTCTCTCTTCCCACACAGAAATTAATTACGGTTTCTACAACTTCTCATATGGTCAAAACAGTGACAAAGTGAACACCATTGGGCTGTGCAGAGGAGATGTTTTGCCAGATGAGTGTCGCAGTTGCCTCAACGATTCTGCAGTCACTATCACACAGCTTTGTCCAAACCAGAAAGAGGCACTTCTTTGGCTGAACACTAGCAAATGTTTGTTGCGTTATTCTCACCGCACAATATTTGGCGTCATGGAAAGTTCTCCTGGTTACTCCTTGCAGAACATAAACAATGTAACGGATCCGGATAAGTTCAACCAAGCACTCTCCAACTTAGTGAGGAACCTCACAACCGAGGCTGCATCAGGTGACTCTCGCCGTAAGTTTGCTACGGGTAGTGCAGTTGCTTCAAATTTTCAAACCGTGTATGGTCTTGTGCAGTGCACCCCTGATTTGTCTGAGAAAGACTGCACTAGGTGCTTGGATGGGGCTATCTCAGAAATCCCATCGTGCTGTGGGAACAAGATGGGAGGTAGAGTTCTTAGACCAAGTTGTAATATTAGATTCGAAAGCGCAATCTTCTACGATCATACGCCTAAATTAGACCCTGATGTACCACCACCATCTTCAGCACCTCCGACCTCCATCAGTAACACCTCCCCCAAAGGTACTTGTCATTGTTAGACTTTTTGATATTTCATTGAAATGCCTCACTCACCCAGCATAGAACTCTCTTGTTTGTGCAGAAAGCAGCAACACAATACTAATTGTCATTGCCGTTGTTGTTCCTACTGTTGTTGTTGCTGTCGTTTCTCTCATTTGTCTCTGCAGATATTTAAAGAGGAGGAAGGCAAGAAAAAGTCTTCTAGGCAAGTTCCAAGTATCTATTGCATATATGATATGTCATAATTTAGAATAATTCTTTCATATAAATCATAATTGTTATTGAACTACATAAAATCTAACTATGATTAGCATGAGTAAAGTTGCTGCTGACAACGTACCAAACAGGGACTTGATATTGTGCTTATGTTCTGTTTCATAAATTGTACCTCCCGATTTTCTACTTTGACTGCCTATTGTGCTTGGGCTTGTGCTTTAACATATATGAAAAACTCACTAGTTTAAATCTGTTTCCATATGAAGATAATCAAAATGATGATGACATTGAAATTGCTCAGTCATTGCAATTCAACTTTGACACAATACGAGTTGCTACGGAAGACTTCTCTGATTCTAATAAACTTGGACAAGGTGGATTTGGAGCTGTTTACATGGTAAATAACTCTGTCAAATTGAGACACACATCGTGTTTTAATCAAAACAGGCCATACCATACAAACTTATTAACCTGACAGAGATATATTTTCAGGGTAGGCTCCCCAATGGACAGATGATTGCAGTCAAAAGGTTGTCAAGAGAATCGAGCCAAGGAGACACGGAATTTAAGAATGAAATGCTTTTAGTGGCCAAGCTTCAGCACCGAAATTTAGTTAGGCTACATGGCTTCTGCTTGGAAGGAAGAGAAAGGCTACTCGTCTATGAATTTGTTCCTAACAAAAGCCTTGATTATTTCATATTTGGTAGGCCTTAATGACTGCATAATTAAACTTCTGGTTCGGACAAAGCCTAAATGTTCATATATATTCCTCTAAAACTCTTTCTTGTATGCAGATCCAGCCAAGAAAGCACAATTGGATTGGGAAATGCGCTACAAAATCATTAGAGGTGTTGCTCGAGGCCTTCTCTACCTTCACGAAGATTCTCTTCTGCGTGTTATACATCGGGATCTCAAGGCAAGCAATATTCTCTTAGACGAAGAGATGAATCCTAAGATAGCAGATTTTGGAATGGCCAGACTGGTTTTAGTGGATCAAACTCAAGCAAATACAAGTAGAGTTGTCGGAACCTAGTAAGTACTAGATAGGCTAAGAGTTTAATTTCAATCAATAATCAAGGAGAATTAATAATGATTATGGAGAGTCTTAACATCTATTATGACTAATTCAACCTATGAATTTTGGCATGAAGTGGATATATGGCACCGGAGTATATAATGCAAGGACAATTTTCGGTGAAATCTGATGTCTTTAGTTTTGGCGTACTGCTTCTTGAGATCGTAAGTGGCCAGAAAAACAGTGGCATTCGTCTTGGGGAGAATGTAGAAGATCTACTGAGCTTCGTAAGTGTTACTTTCTCCATATATATTATTTTCTTTAGAAGAGCATATGCTCCAGAACATTGGTGGAACCAGCCACTTAATAACAAAGTTTTGCAGACATGGAGAAACTGGAGGGAGGGGACAGCTGTAAACATCTTAGATCCATCATTAAACAACAATTCGCGAAGTGAAATGATGAGATGCATCCATATTGGTTTGCTTTGTGTTCAAGAAAATTTAACTGACAGACCAACCATGGCGACCATCATGCTCATGCTCAATAGCGAATCTATCAGTCTCCCCATTCCTTCTGAACCTGCATTTTATGTGAACAGTACAACTAGAAGCCTTCCAGCCGCGCTCTCATGGGGGCATAGTTCCACGGCAACAAGATCAACCGAATCGACAATCAAATATTCTCAGGAATCAGAAAATGAGGCTTCAATCACTCAGCCGTACCCTCGCTAGATTTTTTGGTCACGGGATTGATACTCAGTCAACATCAATGCTTAGTCTTAAAACTAAATACTACATCTTAAAGCTCATATTCATTTTTTTCTCCCAATGTCTTGTTTGAATAAACCACAACTTATCTTTGTTTAATCTGAAACTGGAACCCGTGATATGACCTTACGCTGGTGTTGAAATGTATGTTATGGTTATTCAATTAGTAGTGCACCTTCGTTCTGCGCTTTCTACCTTCCATTCTGTTAAGCGCGGTTTCTCTGCTGTTTACCTTCCATTTATTTTTGTGAGCATTATTTGAGTTGAGGAAACCAAGAAAAAAAAATAAAAATAAAGGAAAGTGTTTGATAATATCACAGTCTAAAGGGACGGGAGTCAACTACGCATCATAACCGAACTTTTGCTTTCACACCACGCTGAACATAAACGTCGGCATTCAATGCTTGTTTCTTTCATTTTCTATTTCCCACTTTCTCAGTGTGCTGTGCACCACAATTCTTATCCATACACGCCTTATAATCTCTAGTGGAAACCCTTGTACCCACTCAACTTTATATAAATATAAATTTTGCTTTAACAAATTCAACCTTAGAGCATATCGAATGGGCCTAACAAAAGTTATTAAAATTAATAATTTGAAAAAAAAAGATATATATATATATATACATATATATATATATATATATATATATATCACATAATCAAAATAAAAATTTAGATAAACCAGGTTATATCATATTATACATAATGTAAAACAAAGAAAAATGAATAAAAAAAAAATTCAAGACTAAAGATTAATAGAAAGTCTTCTCAATTGGTGATACAGGTCTGAATCCAATTTAAGCCAGGCAATGATCTCTGTCCATGTGCTATAAAAGATTGGTCGTATAGAACCTCAGCCATATCAAATTCTTGCTTCTTATTCCGAAGAGTAGCAATAATGGGTGCTCCTTCTTTTTTCACTGCCTCAGTTTGGTGTCTCCTTTTCATTGCAACAATGACATCTCAAGCCAAGGCCGATGTAACTTCGCAAGACTTCCACTACTTCTGCGACTCCAACAACGATAGAGGAAACTACACAACCAATGGCCTCTACAGCCACAACCTCAACAACGCTCTTAACATCGTCACTTTCCGTACCTCCCAAAACGGCTTCTACGCCGTCTCAAGCGGCCAGGCCACAAACCAAGCCAACGCCATCGCGCTCTGCAGAGGTGACGTCAAGCCAACAGACTGCCACCGCTGCCTCATCCAAACCAGAGCCAACCTAACGCGCGTTTGCCGCAACCGGAAGGAGGCCATTGGCTGGTACGAGAACGAGAAGTGCATGCTGCGCTACTCTGACCGCACCATAACGGGCCTCGACGAAATTGGGCCTGCGTACTTCGTCTGGAACCTCAACGACGCACCCAACGCGGAGCAGTTCAATCGAGTGGTGAAGAAGCTTCTGGATGAGCTGAGAGACACGGCGGCGTCACGTGGCGATGGTCGGAAATACGCGGTGTCCACTGCGACGGGCCCAGATGGGCAAGTGATATTTGGGCTTGCTCAGTGCACGCCCGATTTGACGGGGCCTCAGTGCCTTGACTGTTTGGTCCAGTCCATCGCTGAACTCCCACGATGCTGTAATAATAGGATAGGTGCTAGAATTATTAGACCTAGCTGTTATGTCAGGTACGAAACCAATTTTCTTTTCTTTGGTCCTCCGCCACCCGCACCCTGATCAACCACGTCTTCCCTCCACCTTATTACTACATTCATTACTACATTCAGACAACTTGTTTTATTATTATAATAATGATAAATTAATTTTATGAAAATAAAATTATTATATAATTAAAAGATGTTGTTAAATGGATGAATGCAAACAAATATCGGGAATCAATATTTTCTCTATTACTACTAAGTAGTAATCAAATAGTTCACACTGGGCGTTCCACTTTGAAATTTACGGAGGCAATTGATAACATACTCATAAATTTTGAATACGATAAATAGATTGGACCGAGGATATAATAAAACATACTGCTTTTTAATAATTTATTATGAAAATAATTTTATATTTATTTATATATGTATTATAAGTATTATTATTATTATTATTATTATCTTATAATTATTACAAAAGATTAAAAGTATTTATTTTTCTTCTATTACGAGTTTTCGTATTAGACTCTACTAAAATAGTTTAAATACACTCTTGGCTTATCTTACGGATAGAAATATTCTATACCTCGAAATAATTTTAAAATATAATTTCTGAAAAAATATTTTTTAAAATTATTTAATTTGACAACGCAATTCTTATATTGAATTGGACTAGTATTAAAACTTATAAACTCGGTCCAGTTACATCCTTACCACACACATACTTTCTCTCGAGATACAACTCATTTTGCAGGCAATGGTAAGTAAATAAATGTTCATGATAAATAGATGAATTTAGCTATGTACCTCTGGTTTTGGACGAAGAAATTATCTCCCAATGTTATAGTTTGCCTGCATATGCATTCATTGATCACATTCACGTCTTAATATAGTCACTCATTTTTTTCCTGGGTCTTCATGCATATATGTAACGATATCTATTTTGGATAAGTAACATATTTCCGGGCTCAACTTTCTAATGGAGAAGTTATTCCTGTAAAAAGGTTGTGATTTTTTTTTCTTTTAGTGGTAATTGCTAGTTATTAATACAGTAGTATTTTAATGACTACTATAAGAAAAAAATGTTTTACACGTAATAATTCAAAAAAAAATATATATATATATATATATATATTATCTTAAAAATAAATAAAAAATAAATTTATATTACTCTTAATTTTAGATCTATTTCTTTTGCGTCTATTATCTATAATAATTGTTTTTATCAAAACACACTATTATCATGTTTCAAAGTAATATAAAAATATATAGGTAAACTACTCATCTATTTGCAAAATTCAAATATAAAAATAAAATTATTTAATTTTAAATTTTCATATATTATATCATATTCATTTATATTCACATTCACATTACACAAATATTAAATAACTTATTAAATTAGATATCAGATATCTATATTTGTCACACCATAAATTTTTCTAAGTACATAATGTGTAATCAAGGTAAATTTTTAAAATGATTTATCAAGAGATACAAATTTTTTCACCCCTACAAGTTAAGTTACTAGAAACCTTCTTCAATTCTCATCACCTAATTTTTTTATTTCATGTGATTCTAAAGATAAGTAAAGTCATAATAATTTTTTTGAGTTTTAAATTAATATTTATATATATAACATTACAAATAAGGATACCATTTAGTAATTCTCATATCACAACATAACAATTTTTAAGATACATAATAATATTCAACACACATCATTTCATGTTCATAATATGTATTTTAATATCTTAAGACATATATATATCATTTCTCATATTCAAATATTTTTTTCTTATTTGACATTTACCTATTCTTTGGATCATAACATTTTTTATAGGTATCATTTTTTACTCATTCTTATTTTATTAGATTCCTTATTTTCGATTTATATATATAGAACCTTTAGTTTGGAGTTCAAAGTTATTTTTTTATGAGTTTTTGAAATCGAGATAGATGAATTTAAAAGTGTTGAGCAAATTTCAAATTTATTGAGCAAAATTTTAACATAATGGAACTTCTATCGAAACTACCCTCCAAATTATAAATTCATTAAATTCAATCTAAGAACAAAATATTCATATAAAATATTATTATTTTCAATATCATAGAAATAAATTATACATTCATATTTAATATAATAATTTCAAATCAACACATACATAATTACACAATCTAATTTCCTGAAATTCAATCAATGTGACAAAGTCACCTTCATATTCCAGATCTTTTAGCCTATAATATTATGAAAATTAAAGAATAATTTACTTTTCTCACCTCAAACACAGTATTTTCAAGTTAGAGAACTCAAAAACTCGTAAATTTTCAAGAAGATGGATCATGTTCATAGAAAACATTAATTAATAAATTAAGTATATCATAATGTTCCTAAACCAATCAAGATTCATTTTTTACAATAAAGTCTATATGCAAAACTCTCGAGACTCACATGTAAACCTAAACTTAAAATATACAAAAATGATCTAAAATTAGGAAAGGATAAACTTACCTATTTAAAATTATGATAAGATAGAAATAATCTCTTCTCCTCCAAAAATACTAAACACATGCTTAAATCTAGAAAAAAAAATAAAAAAATTCAGAGAAAAGACAAAAAAAAAATTCTAAAAAAATAATTTAAATAATTAAACTTTTTTATTTATAAAAATTTCAAAATTTCTTCTTCTCCTAACACATTTGCTCTCGAAACTACTTTTCATTCTAGTTCCAAAATCTAATTTTAGGACTATAAAATCAACTCTATATGGGGCTTTTCAAACCTAATGTTTTAGGTGGTCCAACGACTACCATTTAATTTTTAGTATTTTTTATTTGAACAATCAGTTTTCACACCCTACATACATTCTGAAACATAATAGGTATCTGAAATTAACTTATATGTGTATATTTTTTAATAATGGTAATTTAAATTTGATTTTATTAATTATGAGAAAAACACTAAAATTTGTGAAAGCATGAAGAAGTGTGAATGAAGTTAATTGTCTAGTTTTGGTGTAATGATGGTAGAGATTGTACCAGAACAAGAGGCCAAACGCATGACTGATTTGGTAATGGACAAAACGCGGAGCACCTATTCAGCTTTCTACACGCTTTATAGAAAATTTGCCATTTCACTTCAAATGGTAGAAGTGGAAAACCGGAACTAATGTTTTGCAATATGAAGCTTTTTATGAGAAAAAATTATTTTAAAAAAAGTTTTTTATTTAAAAATAATATATATATATATATATATATATATATATATATTTAAACATATTAAAGTGTGTCTACTTTAACATGAAATATATGATAGGTGTTTTGCTAGATTGATTGATTAACTATAATTTTTGAGAAAAAAGTGAAGTCTACCTGTTAAGATATTTTGATGCATAAATAATATAAATAACAAAAATATCAATAAGAAGAAAATTACTATTAGCATAAAACAAGAAAATATGTATAATATTTGTAAATAATAGTTTTTAAATGATTAATTATACTGAATAATGAAATATATTATGATTTTTCTCCTTTATCAAGTGCTATTAATTTTATATTGATATTAATATCTAACCATTAATAATGATTATTAACTGTTAAAAATTTTATGTTGAGTTTGAGATAGATCCGTAAAAATAATTTTTTACATTGTATTTTTCTAATCATTATACTAATTATTAATTAGTAATTAACATAGAGAAAAATATGTGTAAGAAATTTGATTAAAAGATTATTTAAAATAAAGCCTAAGACAAATAATAAAATACATAATATGAAAAATAAAAGTAAAATATTTAACAAAAATAAGTTAGTTTGGAAATAAAAAAACTTCAAAAATATTAATTAACAACTACATAACATCTATGATATAATAAATTAACTTAATAGCTAGCTTTTAGCTATAAACTAGTTTTGGTTTGATTATCTTCACATGGATAATTAATTTTATTTTACGGCAAAAATGTGATATTGGTGTATGACATGCGCATGAAACTTTGACATCTTCTAATCTTTGACGACGGGTAGAAATGCCAAAACCGGACAATGAGCTTATTGGTCTTGAAACTATCGACATTTAGTGTTTAATATTAATAACAAGGAGGATTCTCATTCTACTCTTCATTAAAATAAACATAACACTTATGTAAGGCTTCAATCAGAATTCAGAAGAGAAGAAGAAGAAGAAGAAGAAGACGACCACTGCAATGGCCTATGTTGCTTTCACCCTCTTTTTCTTTCTCCGTTGTCTTTGTCTTGTCGTAATCATATCAGAAGCCATTGCCCAAACACTGTGTGATAACAGCAAAGGCAATTACACAATAAACAGCACCTATCACAACAATCTCAACACCCTTTTATCCTCTTTCTCTTCCAACAAAGAAATCAACTACGGTTTCTACAATTTCTCATATGGCCAAGGCGCAGACAAAGTCTACGCCATTGGACTCTGCAGAGGCGATCTTAAGCCCGATGATTGCCTTAAACACCTCAACGATTCAAGAGTGTCTCTGGCAGAGAGTTGTCCAAACCAGAAAGAGGCTATTCGGTGGACTGTAGAGTGCATCTTGCGCTACAGTAACCGCTCCATATTTGGCGTTATGGAAAACCAACCTACGACTGATAACTATTACAATTTGAATGTAACGGGTTCGGTGGAACAATTCAATGGAGCGCTGGAGAACTTGATGCGGAATCTAACAAGCATAGCTGCATCAGGTGACTCTCGCCGTAAGTATGCTACAGGCAGCACTCCTGCTCCAAATTTTCAAACCATATATGGTCAAGCACAGTGCACTCCTGATTTGTCATCTGAAGATTGCAGTAAGTGCTTGGATGAAGCCATCTCAATTATCCCACAGTGTTGTAGTGGCAAGGCTGGAGGCAATGTTTTAAAACCCAGTTGTAGAATTAGATTTGACCCCTATTCCTTCTATGGGCCTACGCTGAGATTAGACCCTGATGCGCCAGCGCCACCATCACCATCCACCAACAGCACTTCTTCTTCACAAGGTAATGTTTATGTTTTACTCAAATTTCTGACGTCTTAATAATTACAACTTTTTGTTAATAATTTTGAACTTGCGTTGACCTTAACTATGTTCTTATTAATCTTAATCCATGGACTGAGGATACTGATTGGTGCAGGACAGAGCAATACATCACGGACTATCATTGCCATTGTAGTGCCAGTTGCTAGTGTTTTTTTGGTGCTCACTCTTTTCTTCATCTATCGCAGAAGACTCAGGAAGCCAAGAAAAAAAATTGAGTGTAAGTCTAACTTGGATTTGCCATCATTTGTTATAAAATTTAGTCTTACAATTTAATGGAGAAGTGATCTAACAAAAATTATAACTGAGTAAACTCTTTCTGAGGGAGCTTATTACATACTAATAAATTGTACGAGAATGAAAATTCCTTGATGCGAGATATTACCATATCATAGTAATAAGTAATCAACTTAGCCATTTCCTTCTGGGTTTTAACTGTGAAGTTATACCTCTCGAAGTTTTTTTTTACTGCATTGATTGGTCACATCTGAATAACTCTAAATATTCACTCGAGTCCCTATGCTTGTGAAGTTGAAATTGAAGAAGATAGTGAAGATGAAATTACACTTGCTGAGTCATTGCAATTCAACTTCAGCACTATACGTGTTGCTACAAATGAATTCGCTGATTCTAATAAACTTGGACAAGGCGGGTTTGGAGCTGTTTACAGAGTAAGATTTCACTTTTCATTCAGATAAATAGCACCTATTCATCAAAACTAGATCCTGCAACTTGGGCCAGAAAAATTTACTATCCTTGATTCATCTATTTTCAGGGTAAGCTTTCCAATGGCCAAGAGATTGCTGTCAAAAGATTGTCAAGGGATTCTGGGCAAGGAGATTTGGAATTTAAGAATGAAGTGCTTTTAGTGGCCAAGCTTCAACACCGAAATTTAGTTAGACTACTTGGCTTCTGTCTGGAAGGAAGAGAAAGGCTACTTGTCTATGAATTTGTTCCAAACAAAAGTCTTGATTACTTAATATTTGGTAAGTTCAATATCTGCATATTTTGATTGTTACTCTAACCTTAGTAATGGTTCAAGACATAATAAAACCTTGAAAATTTCATATTTGGTAGATCTAAATGACTGCATAACTAGAATTTCGTTCTATATTTCAGTTCTGGTCTAGGACAATGCCTAATTAGTGATATAGCGGAAAAACTGATGACTGTATTTGCAGATCCAACCATGAAACAACAATTGGACTGGGAAATGCGCTACAAAATCATTAGAGGTATTTCTCGAGGCATTCTCTACCTTCACGAAGATTCTCGACTGAGGATTATACATCGTGATCTCAAAGCAAGTAACATTCTCTTAGACCAAGAGATGAATCCAAAGATAGCAGATTTTGGTATGGCAAGACTATTTTTAGTAGATCAAACTCAAGCAAATACGAGTAGAATTGTTGGAACCTAGTAAGTATTACAATATGCTACAGCTTCTGTAAGACTTCAATTTCGATAAACTATCAATAAGAAGATTTGTTTAGAAAATCATTGGCATTAGCAACTGAAATAGAATGAAAATTCATGATTGTTAGAGGAGTCATAACATTCATGAGGTATGACTAATAATTCTACCTTATCGGCATATAGTGGATATATGGCACCAGAGTATGCAATGCATGGACAATTTTCGGTGAAATCAGATGTCTACAGTTTTGGTGTACTTGTTCTTGAAATTGTAAGTGGCCAGAGAAACAGTGGTATTAGTCATGGGGAGAATATGGAAGATCTAGTAAGCTTTGTAAGTCTTTCTTTTATCATTATCATTTCTTCTTTGCCATTCAAAAGTATGGATTAGAAGATTACGTGCTCCAAAAACATAATGTAGAAGTGGGATCTTGAACTAGTAACAATTTTTTGCAGGCATGGAGAAACTGGAAGGAGGGGACAGCTATAAATATTGTAGATCCATCACTAAACAACAATTCTCGAAACGAAATTATGAGATGCATCCATATTGGTTTACTCTGTGTTCAAGAAAATTTATCTGACAGACCGACCATGGCTAACATTATACTGATGCTTAACAGCTATTCTCTGAGTCTCCCGGTTCCTGCAGAACCAGCACTTTATATGAACAGTAGAACCAGAACCCTTCCAGTGATGCAGTCATGGGAGTATAATTCAAGAGAAACAGGATCAACTGAACGGATACTTAAATCAGCTCAAGAATCAGAAAATGAAGCTTCAATTACTGAGCTACACCCTCGCTAGATGTTGGTCATGGGGGTGATATTCATTATCTTGTTTAAATACAGTACACGTCCTTTGTCTAACCTGAGACTGACACCTGTGATTTAACATGAGGTTTATGTTACGGTTTTAATACTAGTAGCAGAGCTTGGTGCTCCCTCTACACTTACATTTCTGTAATATTCATCTTCAAAATCTGGTTTCCCGATTTCCGTTGCATTTCTTCTGTTCTGTATACACATCAAAACTACCGCCCAAACTGTTCATATAGGAATCACTCTCTTAAATCTTAAATCTTTTAGTTCAAAAATTTAATCAATTAAGTGTCAATCCGGACTCATCTTTGGTTAGTGTTTTCTCTCTCCGTTAAATCTCCATCTAATAATAGGTATCATAATAGAAGGTTGATGGACAGATTAAAAGTTATCGAAAATCTTCGTCACAACAAGTAAGGTAAGTGCGTCTCATTAACGATAAATGTGTCTCATTAGAATCAACGGCTTTATATAAAAGTACCACTAATTAGTTTAAGGTACGATAATTGAATCACATTTGAGGTAAAAATTAAAAAGTTAAATAATATATAAAGAAATATAAACCTTATCTCAATTTATAATAATTTTGGGTTAAGAGTCACTGTATTCAAATTGAATTGAATGAGAAGACAAATAGAGACAGAGATGAATATAAACAGTCAATAAATAATTTTCCACCGATTAATAAAATTTACTTTCATCCTTACTTCAATTCAATTATTTTCCACCAAACAACCCATTAGGAACCAATTTCAGCACAGAAATTTAGTTAGTCTCTTGTGTCTTTATAAGGAAGGGAGATGTAGAAATATAATTCAACTTTTAAATTTAAAATTCATTTGTATATGAAGTTATTATTGGTGTAATATTTGGCAGAATTATTATATGAAATTGCTCAAATTTGTTGAGTGTGCGACGCGGAAGCTGACTGACTTAATCAACAGCTGGAAGCCGACCGACTTAGTCAATGTCCGCATTCAATTTAGAGTACTCCTGTATAAATAAATAATTTAATGTAAAAATATAATAATTATTTAACAATTTTTTTATTAATATAATAATAAAAATATTTATTATATTCAATTTGTATTTTATTTTATTGTCTCATTCATGATTTTTTTTAAATGAACTGTGAAAGTATTATTTTTCTTTTATTTAATTTGAACTCCTCTTAGTTTTCAGGCTGCCACGTTGTTGCCCGATATTTCCAGACTAACTATTTATTATTCGAATTTGATTTAATCCTTATATATAAGACGAAGGATAGTAAAATTAAAGAATCTTTTCACAGTGAATAAATTAAAATATATGCACTAAGAATGTAAACCACTGAAACTTAACGAAGTAATATATATATATATAACTGTTTTTAATTCTATTTTAATATTATATCTTGTTCTATCGTATATTGAATATTAAAGAAACTCTTAAATAATTAAAAAACATAAATAGACGATAAAGGTTAAATAAAAATGTATAGTTATTTTGAAATTAAACTTCATATATAATTATTTATATAAAGTTGACAGGAAATTAAATTCATATGTCTATGAATTTCAAAAAGAAAGCTCTTATCAAATGAACTGTTTGAATAAAAAAAAATTCTAAGCTACTCTCAACTATTGATGAAAATTTAATTGAAAACAAAAAAAACTAACAAGTCTAGTTTTTATTTAATGAGTTTCATTTGTAAAAAATGGTATAACTATAAATATTGTATCTTAATAGTATATAAAGCAAACAGCTTTTACAATTTACTTTACAATCAATTTTGCAATCTAAAATGAAAAAAAAATCAGAATTTATTTTTAAATAATTTAGTTTATTATAAAGATGTTAATAAATTTATGTAAGTATGATGTGAATTATTATATTTTCCACTTTTCTTCCTCTGAAATGTTTTTTACATTAAAATAACATAAGAGTATAACTTTTAAAAAATATCTAATATTCACTATGATTTAAACAAAAAATAAATTAATATTATTTTGAAATTATTAAGGAAAACGTTCGTAGCGGGTTGATTAACTAGTTAAACATTGAAACAAACGTAGTCCTTAAAGAAAATCCTTTGATTCATGTGATGTGCATTATTTTTGTCAAGTTTACCCGAAGGATACGGTTGAGAAGCTTAAGACTATTGACTTGGTCAAACTGTTCACACTCCTCCAAACAAAGCTCCTTCCTTACTTTGTAAAGCTCCAATCTTCAATCTTCCTTCCTCGTGTTACTCCTGAATCCCTGAGCAAAATCGCAATGGCTGCTAATTCCTTTCTCTGTTGTCTTTGTGTCATCATAATCATATCGCAAGCCAACGCCCAGACCTGTGATAACAACAAAGGCAACTACACAGTCAACAGCACTTACTACAACAACCTCAACACCGTCTTATCCAGTTTCTCTTCCCACGCTGAAATCAAATACGGTTTCTACAATTTCTCACATGGCCAAGGCACAGACAAAGCATACGCCATGGGGGTCTGTAGAGGCGATCTCACACCGGACGAATGCCTCAAATGCCTCAACGATTCCAGAGAGGCTATCACAAAGGCCTGTCCAAACCAGAAAGAGGCAATTGCGTGGGGTGGTGAATGCATCTTGCGCTACTCTAACCGCTCCATATTTGGCCTCATGGAGAATCAACCTATGGTGCTACTAGTGTACACGCTGGATGCAAGGGGTTCGCTGGATCAATTCAATGAAGCGCTGGGTAGCTTGATGAAGAATCTAACACGCATAGCTGCATCAGGTGACTCTCGCCGTAAATATGCCACAGGCAGCACACCTGCTCCAGATTTTCAAACCATATACGGTTACACGCAGTGCATGCCTGATTTGTCATCGGAAGATTGTACCACGTGTTTGAATGATGCTATCTCAAAAATCCCAGAGTGCTGTAGTGGCAAGGCTGGAGGCAATGTTTTGAAGCCCAGTTGTAGAATTAGATTTGACCCTTATATCTTCTACAGAACTACACAGAAGTTAGACCCAGATGTTCCACCAAAAACGCCCCCCCAATCGTCACCCTTCACCAACGACACTTATGTACATTCACAAGGTATTTCTCATATTTTGCTTCAATAATAGTTTCAATCCACTAGAACCACCCAAAGAACTTGGGAGTTGACTCAGAAGTTTACATAAAGGGAATGGTTTACTTAAAGGGGTCTTACAAAAAAAGCTTCATTATCCACTTCTCGCTTTATTTTTCCTCTGTCTGCCGTTGTTTTACTTATTTGCGAAGGGAAAGTAAGTGTTTGTGTTCAAAATTAGTCTTCACTTCCACACGATAATAAAATTTCGAAATTCGAGCATATGTTGGGACTCTTGGATATTTTATTAATCTTAATCCCTGCCCTGAGGGTTCTGGTTTCGGCAGAAAAGAGCATCACATCACGAACTATTATCGCCGTAGCAGTGCCAGTGGCTGCTGTTGTTTTAGCGCTCAGTCTTTTCTGCATATATCTGACAGTGAGTAAGCCAAGAAAAACAATTGAAAGTAAGTCTCTAAGGCTCTGAACATGGATTTACCGTCATATGTTGTAAAATACCCTGTTACCTGGCCAGAAATAATTTGAGCAATTCACACTTTGAACAATTAAATCATTTATACATACATATATATAATGATTCCATTGTTCAAAGTGTATTGCTCAAATTATTTCTGGCCAGGTAACAGGGGAAATCTATTTACTCATTTCTATTGAGAATCATATATCTGTTATTTTTTGCTTGCATTCACTTGTCATATCTAAATGCTAACTAATTTTACCCAGGTCCTCCTCATGCACGTGAAGTTAAAAGAGAAGAAGTTAGTGATGATGAAGATGAAGTTACCTTTGCTGAGTCATTGCAATTCAACTTTGATACCATAAGAGTTGCTACAAATGAATTCGCTGATTCTAATAAACTTGGACAAGGCGGGTTTGGAGCTGTTTACAGAGTAAGACCATACATACTTTTCATTCAGTTAAAATCTTCATCAAAATATGATATATCATGTAACTTCTCTATCAAAGATTTACTATCAGTGACTTGTATATTTTCAGGGTCGGCTTTCCAATGGACAGGTAATTGCTGTCAAAAGGTTGTCAACAGATTCTGGGCAAGGAGATATGGAATTCAAGAATGAAGTGCTGTTATTGGCCAAGCTTCGACACCGAAATTTAGTTGGGCTAATTGGTTTCTGCTTGGAAGGAAGAGAAAGGCTGCTTATCTATGAATTTGTTCCTAATAAAAGTCTTGATTACTTCATATTTGGTAAATTCGAAGATCTGCATAATTGAACAGTTACTCAATTACTTTAGTTTTGATTCAAGACACGCTCGCAACTAAAATTGCTTTAATGTTCATATGGTTTCGGTATGTTCATATAGATCCAATAAAGAAAACACAGTTGGATTGGCAAACCCGCTACAAAATCATTAGAGGTATTGCTCGAGGCCTTCTCTATCTCCACGAGGAGTCTCAATTGCGAATTATACATCGAGATCTCAAGGCAAGCAACATTCTCTTGGATGAAGACATGTATCCTAAGATATCAGATTTTGGAATGGCAAGATTGGTTCACGTGGATCAGACTCAAGCAAATACGAATAGAATTGTCGGAACCTAGTAAGTGTGAGAATATACTATTATTCATTGTTACAGAAACTTAATTTGAATCAAGTGTCAAGTAAAATATTTTACATACCCTGAAAAGTTTCACAAATTTTTTAAGTTATTAAACTTGCATGTGGTTGCAATGTAGTGGATATATGGCACCTGAGTATGCAATATATGGTCAGTTTTCAACAAAATCAGATGTTTTTAGTTATGGTGTACTGGTTCTTGAGGTTGTCAGTGGCCGAAAAAACATTGGTGTTCGTCATGAGGAGGACATGGAGGATCTATTGAACATTGTAAGTCTTTCTTTTCTTCTGACTATGTCTTCCTTCTCCTTTTCATCAGAAGAGGATTTGAAAGTTATTGCTTCTTCACATGACATGAGTACAAATGAAATCTGTGACGAAGATTTGCATTTTGAGAAATTCATGCAGACATGGCGAAACTGGAAGGATAGAACAACTACAAATATTGTTGACCCAAAATTAATCAACGGTTCGCGAAATGAAATAATGAGATGTATCCACATTGGGTTGCTATGTGTTCAAGAAAATGTGGCTGCCAGACCAACGATGGATTCTGTTGTACTCATGCTCAATAGCTATTCTATCACTCTCCCAGTACCTTCAGAACCTGCATTTGTTGCGAATTATACAAGAAGCTTTTCAAACATGTTGTCATCGGAGCATAACTCAAGGGAAACAAGATCAAGTGAATCCCCATATAAAACAGCTCAAATGTCTGTAAATGAGGCTTCAATTACTGAGCCATATCCTCGCTAGAATTTGGTATATAATTGGTCTAATTTGAAGATAAATTACATGCTTTATCGAGATAAAGATATTTGATTAACTAAATTATAGCGGTACAAAATATTGTATAACCAGAATTTCATTTATTTAGTTTTGATTTGTTGGAGTAAAATACTATAAGATCATAGTATACTGTGTACAAAAATAATATGAATAAAAATTATAGAATGAATTTTATGTTTTTCAATTTGGTATCGAAGCTTATAATTTTTTTCTTTTTTTCTAAATCCTTGGAAATCTTAACTGGAGAGATAACAGAAAAATTAATTATAATGGTTGTTCAATCTGAAAGTGTCTTCAATGTAGACATCATCTTAAATGAATCCAATTATGACGTATGGTCACAATTAATGGAGATGCATATTGCAGAGAGGAAAAAATTGTCCTATATCCGTGGGAAGGTGAAGCCTCCAACAGAGAACGATGAGGGATATGAAAAATGGTATGCTGAAAACCAAAAAGTGAAAAGATGACTATTGATGTCCATGAAGCCAGAAATCATGAAAATGTATCTTCGCTTACTTATTGTCCTCGATATTTGGAATGTTTTGTCAGACATTTTATGATGGAAGTGATGAACTACATGTGTTTGCCCTGAATCAAAGGGTATTCACTGCAAAACAAAATAATAGAACCTTAACTGAATATTATGGGGAGTTGGTTGAGAATTTTAGGGAATTGGACCATCGTAACAAAATAGTTATGAAGGACCCTGATGATGTGAAGTCATATCATAAGCCCATTGAAAGATTAAGGGTGCATATATTCCTTATTGGACTAGATGATGATTTTGAGCAAGTTCGTGGAGAAATCTTGCACAAGAAAGTGGCACCTGATTTAGAAGAATGCTATGCAATGATCCGGAGAGAGATAGTCAGCGAACAACGTTGAAAACAGAATATATGATTTCTAATTCCACAGCTATGATGACAAAGAAGCAGCCAGCAAATCATCACAGCAAATCGAAGCAATCAAAAGATTTTGAAAAAGCTAACTACAAGTGTACTCAGTATAATAAGGATGGACACATCAAGGAACGATGTTATAAAATCATAGGATATCCCGAGTGGTGGGATCACAGTCGAGCATCAAAGAAGAATTCAAAAAGAAATCCAACTGTTGTTGCTGTAACTGTCATTGACAAAGAGGGCGATAAATGCATGATGTTTGCTACAATCGCAGGTAGTGATGATTCTAATGGTAAGACTTTAATAAGCACATCTACCGTTCTGAATAATGCATGGATAATTGACTTTGTATGTTCTAATCATGTGACTTTTGAAATTAGACAGATTAAAAATCTTAAACATTCATAACAAAAAAGTATTTCCACAGCCAATGGTAGTAAATCCACTATTATTAGAGAAGGAACTGTCTCTATTTCAAACAATTTGACTCTTGATACTATCCCTGTTGTTTCTTCTCTTAAATATAACCTATTGTCAGTCTCGCAAATAACCAAAACTCTTTTATGTGTTGTAATTTTTGGGTCTGACTCTTGTGTTTTTAAGGACATTCCAACAAGGAAGACGATTGGTTATGGTATTAGGCGAGGAATGTTGTATTACCTGGACCTGACAGAAAAAGATTCAAAGAGACTTGGTCAAGTACTAGCAACAAAAGGGTCTCAAGAAGTAAAAAAAGGCGAGGATATTTGGTTATGACATAAGCGTCTAGGACATGCATCTTTTGGTTACATAAAGAAATTATTTCCAAATGTATTTGACCAAGTAGACACTTCAACTTTTTATTGTGATGTTTGTGAGATTGCAAAGAGTCATAGAACATATTTTCCTTTAATTTCAAATAAAAGTTCTCTTCCTTTTATGATCATTCACTTTGATGTATGGGGTCCATCTAAGGTTACAATGTTGGGTGGTTCAACGTGGTTTGTAACGTTTATTGATGATTATACTCGAATGACTTGATTATGTTTGATGAAGTCTAAAAGTGAAGTTGGAGGACTATTTCAAAATTTTGCAAAATGATTGAGACCCAGTACAAAGAACAAGTTCAGGTACTGCGCAATGACAACGAAGGAGAATATATGCAATAAGAACTTCAACCTTTTTTAGTAGCCAAAGGAATTGTTCATCAGAGATCTTGTCCAAAGACTCCACAACAGAATGGGGTGGCAGAACGAAAGAACCGTCATCTATTGGTGGTGGTTCGAGCTGCGCTAATTGGAGCTTACATGCCAGCAATATATTGGGGAGAAGCTCTCACATATGCAGTATACACTATCAACCGAATGATGAGTGGATAAAATATCATTACATTCATGCATTAATTTAGGTTAATTTCATATGTTGTTGCATTATGGGAACGATTTCATCATGCATTATCGTTGTTTTGGATCATACATGTGGTTTGTGCATTGTTCTTGTAAATAGGTGTTTGGAGGTTTAAATTCATAGTTTGGAGCAAGTTCCACAGGTACCTTGTGAAATGTTCCACAACCTGTGGATTTGGTACCAGAATGCAAAGATCAAGATCAGAGAGCTCCACAGGTGAGTTGTGGATGTTTCCACAACCTGTGGATTTGTGGTTCAGAAGGCACAGTTGAAGTCAGAGAGTTCCACAGGTGGGTTGTGGATTTTTCCACAACATGTGGAAATTCAAGATAGTTATGAGAAGTGGTAACTACCTCAACAAGTGGAGAAAAAACGTGGGACACCCTATAAAGAAGGTGGAACGAAACTAAAAAGATGGGGAGAACCATTCTGGAATTTTTTACGTTCTAGTTATTATCTTTTAGCAATTTTTACATTATGCAGAACTGATTTTCCTGTTGTTGGAGGATTGATGTAGTACTCTGAATTATATTTTCTTGTTCTTGACAATTGATGTTTAGTTAATGTTCTTTATCTCAGTGTTCTATTTATAATTTTCAAGTTCATTCCACGAGCAGTTTCACAATTGGAAGATTGGAGGTTGTTCGCGATCCTAAATATAACAGGTTAGGGTTTGTCACAATTGGGAAATTGGGCATATATCTAATTAGTTTGCAATAGAGAAGATTATTGTTTTTTCATGATTCTATTGAATGGCGTAACTGACCTAAGGGATTGGGGGTTCGGATTCAATGAATAGTTTTGCCTACTAAGGGATTAGGGGTAAAACAACTCTGGGTAAACTCAAGTGGATAATTACATTTCTTGCATCAATTGAAAGGACTGGAATTATATAGGAAAGAGTATGAAATCAATTCTCTAACAGATCTTATTTTGACTAAAGTTCTTATTATAATTCTATGTTTGTTATTTTATCCAAATTTTCAATTGCTCAAACTTACGTACATTAGGAATCTAGTATTCAACAAATTCAATCCTAGAGGACGATATTTTATTACTACGTTAACGATTGGTGCACTTGCCAAATGTTCATCAAGTTTTTGGCGCCGTTGCCGGGGATTGATTTTTCTGTTGATATTAGTGATCTAATTCGCTTAAGATTTGAGTGTTAGTTTTTAGGTAGTCAAAATTGTTTTTATTTTAGTTATTTTGTTTTTCTATTTTCATTATCTTGTTTGTTTTTCTGTTGTCACGTTAATTTTGTTGTTAAAATTTTGTATTCTTTTTAAGTTGTTTATGCGAGGTACAGTGGCAGAAAAAATTTTGCTTTTTAACCCAGAAATTGAACGTTCTGCTAGACATAATAGAAGTGAGACAAGAAAGAAGAAGCAAAAAGGAAAAGCAGAGACATCAAGTAAAAAGGAAGAGCACGTATCAACAATGGCAGAGGAACAACCAGAGAGAAAAACTCTTCTTGATTATTCTATGCCAGACGTGAATAATTACCAAGGGAGTATTGTGAGACCTCCTATTCAAGTCAACAATTTTGAAATCAAGCCTGCATTGCTACAAGTCATCCAACAGAATCAATTTGGAGGTGCAGTTGCACAGGATCCTAATTCTCATCTAGAGAATTTTCTAGCCATCTGTGATACTTTGAAGCTTAATGGAGTTTCAAGTGAGGCAATCCGCTTGAGGCTTTTCCCTTTCTCATTAAGGGATAAAGCTAAAAGCTGGCTTCAAACACAACCTCAAGGAAGCATCACTACATGGGAAGATATGGCAAAAAAATTTGTAACCAAATACTTCCCTCCATCCAAGTCAGCAAGAATGAGAAATGAAATCACTACTTTTGTGCAGCAAGAGACTGAATCTATGTACGAGGCTTGGGAGAAGTACAAGGAGCTATTGAGGAAATGTCCACATCATGCTTTACCAGATTGGTTACAAGTCCAGATATTTTATAATGGTCTTGTACCCTCTTTTAGAGCAATGTTGGATGCAGCAAGTGGAGGAGCATTCAATCTGAAGACACCAGCAGAAGCCCTAGAAACTATTGAGTTAATGGCAAATAATACAGGGAATATGCAGTTTGATCGTCAGAATAGAAAAGGTGGAATGTTATAAGTTAACACTCTGGATGATATCCTAGCCCAAAACAAGTTGTTAACACAACAAATGACTGAGTTGACTAAGAAGATTGATAATGTGCAAGTGAAAGCAGTGAAGACAACACCTTTAACATGTGATTTTTGTGGAGGAATGCATCAAAATGGTGAATGTCAAGTCACTCAACAAGAGGTGCAGGTGAATGCAGTGGGCCAACATCAGAATCAGTTTGCTAACCATTTCAATACAAATTGGAGAAGCCCATCAAACCAACCTTGGAGTGGATCGAATCAATCCAATCAGCCAAAGCTTCCATATCAATATCAACCACAATCTAACAACCAAGGAACTAAGATGTTTACTTTTGAGAGAGCTTTAGAGAAGTTAACTGAGCAAACCTCAACATTTGTGGAACAAACTTCTAATTTCATGAATGAGACAAAGACAAATTTCAAGAATCAGGAAGCTTCAATCAGAAATTTGGAGAACCAAATTGGTCAACTTTCACGACATATCTCAGAGAGATCTCCTGGAACATTTCCTAGTGACACCATTACCAACCCAAAG